GGGGGCGGGTCTCCTGGTTTCACCAGGGTCTCCAAGAGCTCTGACATTTGGGCACCATCCCCCACACCTCTGTCTTCACCATGATGTCTCACAGACCCACCTGGTTCTTCAGAGCCATCTCCTGTCTGGGATGTCTTCTTCCCACCATGCCCACTTTTCAGCATGGATCTGGATCCTTCTTCATCTTCCCCACCCCAGACCCGCCTGATCTTTACCTGGGGGCTGTTGGGGATGGGTCCCCATCTCCGCATCCTGCCGTCCACCATCCTCGTCCTCCCCAGGTGTTGACCCGGCACACCCCGAGGTACAGGAGACCTCCACACCCAAACCAGAAGCAGCTCTGCCAAGGTGGTACCCAGACAGAGAAGCTCTCCAAGAGCCACCTTGGCCTTTCATCTCACAGCAGCTGCTTAAGTCTCTCGTTTTCCTGCAGCTCTGTAGTTAATGGTCTGGGTGGGACATGGGGCTGGGACTTGAGGAGCTGGTGTCAGCTTCCCACGCAGGAGCCACCAGCATGGCCTGCTCAGCCTGTTTCCAGCCCTCCACCTCCACCACTCCCTTGGGAAGATTTTTAACCAGATCTGCTGGGATAGTTCCTTTTTTCCCTTTCTCTTCCCCAAGACCTGCTTCTGCTCGCCCTGTTCCTGTGGCCCTGGGGAACTGGTTACTTCCCTCCCCTTGAGAGCTCTTCCCTGGCGAGAGGCAGTGGCTCTGGCTGTCCCCATCTGCCACTCCAGGCATCCCACATCTGCCCACTTCTCCCTCCCCATAGCTCTTGTCATGACTCTGTGTTGTCCACCCCAGGTTCTGCGGTCTCTGTGCTTATCATTAGTAGCTGCTTCACTCCCCTCTCCCCATGTTTGTCCCTAGCCCTGTCAGCTGGGCAGCTGGTTGTAGCTTTCCCCATCCCACACTTAGCTGTCCAATAAACCCCCTGCCTCCGCTGCCTGCTGTGTGTTGTTCCACAGTAGTGGGGCTGCAGACCCTCTGGGGTGGGCAAGAGAGGGTTGCCAGGAGCCAGTGAGGGGGGATTTTGCTTTTCTCTGGGGTCCCCTCCATCTCTGGGCACTCAAAGGACCAAGCTCTGGGAGCCTGGTGTTCCCCCGTGCCACTCGTGGCTCTCCACACCCTCTCCTTGCCTCAGTTTCCCTGTGGGGGGGATGCTCAGGGAGGGTCCCTGGCTGGCCACCGCCACATCTTTGTGGGACTGTGCAGACATGGCAGGCTCTGGGGCAGCAGCCCCTGAGCAGGCCAGGTGTGACACCCATAGGACATGTCACTGTGGACACCTTGTTGTCCTACCCGCACTGCGACGCTTCAAAATGAGCCCAGGCAGCCTCAGTGGCACCAAGACCTTTATCATCACGAGCACCAGGGAAGGGATGGGCAGGGACACTTCGTGGGGGGTGCAGGCAGTGTGGGGACAGGCAGGAGGAGGCAGTGTGTGGGCAGGGGGGCTGGTGCCTGAAGGCATGATGCCTTGGGCTGGCAGCTGGGCACGGTGGCTCACACGTAGTCCTTCATGGGATAGCCCATGGGGCCACAGCTTTTCACTGCTCTGTACTTCTTGGGATAAGGGTCCTGCTGGGATGAGGGTCCCGAGGAGCACACGATGCCCCCACCGAAGATGCCCCAGCCGATGTAGAGGGCAGCCCCTAGCTCCCTCTTGAGTGCTTGGGGCACCATGGGGTTGTAGAAGTCGGTGACGATGCTGTTGGCAGACCAGGAGACAGGGATGAGAATCATGATGCTGGACAGGATGAAGATGCCACCTGCCACCATGGACATCCTGGTCTTGGTGCTGTTGTCATCCACGAAGCGGGTGCAGTCTGCACCTGAGAGGGCGATGAGGAAGGCGAAGAAGGCCGCGAAGATGGAGGTGACCACCAAGGCACGGGCCGCTTGCAGGTCAGAAGTGAGCTCCAGCAGGGAGTCATAGGCCTTGCACTGCATCTGCCCCGTGGTCTCGTACACGCAGTTCATCCACAGCCCTTCCCAGAACACCTGGGCCGTCACGATGTTGGAGCCAATGAATGCTGTCACCTTCCACATGGGCAGCGCACAGGTCAGGATGGAGCCCAGCCAGCCCAGCACCGCCAGCATCAGCCCACCCAGCTGCATCGTCATCGTCGCCATTGACAGCACCTGTGGGGACAGGGCACAGTGTGGACTTCATAAATGTGTCCTGCCCTCCATCTGGGTGGGAACAGCTGCAGACCAGCATGGGGACATGTGTGGCATGGGGCATTGATGCCAGTCAACATGGGGACATGTGTGGCATGGGGCGCTGATGCAAGATGGCATGGGGACACGTGTGACATGGGGCATTGCTGCAGGTCAACATGAAGACACCCCAGCACACTCCAAAGTGCGGCTCCCCCACCCCACACTCCCCCCAAGTCCCGCCATGGTAGCCACCCCCCAATGCCCACCCATGCCCTGCTCCATCCCTGGTGTGCAGACCCCTCAGCCACAAGCACAGTGCAGGGGACACCGGAAGGCAAGGTAGTCCCTTCCCTCCCTGCGTCACTGGCTGCTTCCCGCACTGGGGCAGGCCTGGCTTTGCCCTCGGCAGCCGCCCGGCAGTGCCCTTTGGACCCGGGACGTCCCGTCTGGGCGCTGGGAAGGGGTCAGAGCTCAGCTCTGCCTCTGATACTGCGCCGGTGCTCAGCACTTTCAGCAATACTCAAAGCACCCTGGCGAGGGGCGGCAGAGCCTGGGGTCACCATGGGCATCACCCCTGTGGCCTGTGGATAAGCAGGGACACACGGGACACATTGAGGGCTCCACTACCACCAGTCTGTGGTGGCCACTGGGTCAGCGCAAATGGCTGCTGGAGCAGAGCATGGGGCAGAGCGCACCCATGGGTTCTTGTGCCCGCCTCACACCGCCCGCTGGGGCAGCCCCACGCTTGGCGGCCGGGACCAGCTGAGTTTTTATGACCCCAAGCAGCAGCATGGTATCGGCTGTGCCTGGCACACCCTACAGCACATGTGGGATGTTTCGCTGGGGTTTCTCTGGTCCAGGTTTCGGTTTCTCCATCCGCACTTCCTCCCATTGTGTCCCCTCACCTTCCCCAGTGCCTTTCGTCCCTTAGCTGCTCAACAGACACCTGGCACTGGGGCTTCACCTCCCCTGGTCCATGAAAGTCCCTTTGGGCCAAAAACCAATACCCTCACTCCTAGAGAAAGGGAGAGTAGCCTCTGGGAGGCCAGGGTGGTGGGAAGCCATCCCAGGCACCTTTCCTGGCCAACAGGAACTGGACCACAAGGAACACCCAAAACAGGGTGTACAGCCACCCGCAGCAGGGATGGATCCCAGCAGGGATGCTCATTGGAGCATCATGCTCACCTTTCCGCCTGGCCACCGGCACCACAGGGTCGTGGGAGCGTTTTCCACCATTTCGTCTCCCAGCAAAGGGATGGAGGAGCTGGGATCCCTCAAGCCCCAGACCTATATGAGACCCCCACCACCACCAGCCGGTGCCACCTCTTACCCCCACACACCCTGAGGCATGAGGGAAGCACTTTCTCAAGCCGGTGTCCCGGCACAGCTTGCCATGCCAGAAACAAGATAGGCAAAACACCCGGGGTTGCCCACGCCAGCCCCAGGCTGCTCCCAGCCTGGGCTGTTGGATGGCCCGGGGGCCAACGCGCCCCGACCCGCCCTCACTGGCACCTATCTCCTTCTTCCTGCTTGGGTGGGAAGATCGCACTGGGATGAGTGTGAGGCAGCCCTGGCACTGCAGCCGATGCCACCAAGGCATTGTGTCATGGAGGCACCCATTGCCACTCCACCCAGAGTGGCCTGGGCGATGGGTGATGCTAGCGCAGGGTATGGAGGCAGCCAGGATCACAGAGGGTCAAGGAAGCAGATCTCGGCAGTCTCCAGCAGATGGGGGCCTGCGGCACAGGAGCACTGGACAGTCGCACTGCCCAGGTGGGTTTCAGAGAAGGTGAAGAAAATGAAGCACAGCAGGTGCTATGCAGCAGCAATTTAATGTGGGAAGGCTGCCACATGGAGATAGACAGCGGCACAGCTGGGGGGAGCATCGCGAGCCGCTCCCTCTTGCCCCCATCCCAGGGGATGCCGGTGGGGGACGTGGGGCTGGGTGCACCTCACGAAATGGGGTCGGGTGCTGGGAATCTCCCCCACACTATGCGGGTGCAAAGCCCCGCTCCTGCCTCCCCGACCGGTTCTCCCAGCCCGGCCACTGCCTTCCCACTCCCAGGATAATGATACCCCCGCCCCGGGGAGCTGCCACGAGAAATCACACGTCTGCACAGCTGCTGCGAGCCCCGAAAGTAGGTCAGTGGCAAAATTTAGGGTATGGGCAGGCAAGAGCCCCCACTGCCCCTTGAGACCCTGCAGAGCCGCCGTGTCCCCGTGACCACGTGGAACAGGTCCAGTGTCCCCACCGGCACTGCCACCCGCCCCGAGGGACGCGTCATCGCGGGGATTACCCGGTGTCACACGCGGGACAGGCCCTGGGACCCGCATCACCGAGCGGCACACCCCGATACCGGGAGCTGGGAGATGCTGGAGGCGGGGACCGGGTGGTGCCGCAGAGAAGATGCCGTGGCTGGGTGCTCCCAGGGGAGCGGGACCCCCGCCAGGGGGGGCAGCCAGGACAGGATCTCCCTGTTCCCTGTCTCAGCCAAGAGCAAAGAACCAGCTTCAATCCCCCGCTGAACAAAGGCAGTTCTGTTTGCCCTCCCTCGCACTGCCCCGGTGCCCAGCCAGCTCCCAGCCTTGCCAGGGGGGTCTGTGGGCCAGGGGCACCGGTAGGCCAGCTCCCCGGTGCGACTGGGGGTGGGTCCAGGTGGATGCTGCAGCTCCTAGACGTAGTTGCTGGCTGGCAGTGAGCGAGCGGCTGTGAACTTGGCAGAGTAGGGCTTCTCCTCCCGAGAGGGGCAGGTGCAGCACAGGATCCCCCCACCTAGTAGCAGGAGTGTGGAGGCTGCCCAGCCCACGTAGAGGGACGACCCCAGGTCCCGCTTCTGGGAATCAGTGACCATTGGGTTGTAGAAGTCCTGGATGATGGTGTTGGCAGACCAAGAGACAGGGATGAGAATGAGGACGCCAGCGATGATGAAGATGATGCCAGAGAGGATCATGACCTTGGCTTTGGAGGTGTCATCCTCTACGCAGTTGGTGCACTTCCCGCCAGCAACAGCAAGCAGGGTGCCCAGGACGGCCACGACGATGGCCACCACCATCATGGCACGGGCGGCTTGAAGGTCCTGCGGCAGGGCCAGCATGGAGTCGTAGACCTTGCACTGCATCTGCCCCGTGCTCTGCACCACGCAGTTCATCCACAGCCCTTCCCAGACGATCTGGGCCACCACGATGTTGTTTCCGACAAAGGCTGTCTCCCGCCACATAGGCAAGGCGCAGCAGAGGATGGAGGCCAACCAGCCGATGACAGAGAGAGCAATGCCCAGCACCTGCAGCCCCATGGAGGCCATCACTCGCTGCTGACACCCCTGCCCGCCTCCCACAGCACAGTGCTGGCCACTGGGACCATGGCAGGCATTATATGCCTTCGCCGAGGGAGGAGCACCACCGCCACCGCCGCCGTCCTGCCGCCAACACCGGACGGATGGGTAAAACCAGTTTCCCGGGATTCCTCGGCTTGCATTTCTCCCCGAAGCAATGACACTTAATATCCTGGCTGCTCCCACGGGGGAGGATGCAGGGGACTGCAATCAGGCCACCCAGGCGCCGGAGCACATCCCTCCACTGCCCAGGGGCAGGCAGGAGATGCTGAGGGCAGCCACCAGGCTCAGCCTTGAGATGCTGAAGGAGAAAAGCTGGTGTCTGGGCACCAAAATATCTCTGCCATAGCTGCCAGCACCTCCTGCTCCATCACCCAGACGGGGTTCCTCCATGCTTTCGTGCCTCAGTTTCCTCCCAGCTCATGGGGTGGCTGCACTGGCAGCAGTCCAGCCTCCAGCCCCCTGCACGCCAGGGGAGCAGCACACCCTCCCTGCCCACTGCTGGGCTCTGTGCCTGGCAGGACACAAGCGGCTCTTGTTTGTTCCTTGGCATCGGTACCAGCTCTTCCCAGCCCTCCATCGGGCCTCAGGCGGGAGGCGTCACCGCCCCTACCCACAGACCGGTTGGAGCGGCTGCTGGCTCCCCACAGAGGAAAGACGGCATTGCCTAGGGCGAGGAGGGGGCAGACCCCAAAACCCACCCCACCTTGTGCTCCACCACTAAGCCAGCATTCACACGGCAGCCCTGGGTCCCAGCCCTGCCGGTGTCCCGTTGACTGCGCTGCTGCCAAGTTTGACAGGTCAGGGCTGCGAGGGGCAGAGGTGGCCCCGAGGTGGCCCAGTGGGGACCAGGGTGCCAGGAGCAGGCAGTGGGGACAGCAGGGCCATGTGGTGCTGGCAGCATTTCGATACCCACTGGCCAATGCCAATACTCATAACAATGCTGATACCAATGCCAATGATGATTCCGATGCCAATACTGATGCCAATGTTGATACCGATGCCAGTGCTGATCAGTGTTGCCCAACCTCTCCTTTCACCCATGAACCTCCACACACACATCCCAAATTTTTTCCCTTCATTCCCCCCCCAGCATCTGTGCAGGCACAGGATGAAGCCAGACAGATCACAAGGACAGACAGACAGACATTGCTCTGTTTCCCCACCTCAGTTTAATCCCAGGCTTCTGGAAAAGATAACAGGGTCTGAGATTATCTTCATTTTCCCAAGCACTGGGTTTACCAATCTGATCCAAACACTCATGCTAATTGCCTGGCTCCGGAGCTGCCGCTGCCCATGCCAGGACATCCCTGACATCGAACTCCACTGCGGTGAGACAAGCTGGGTGATCCATGCACCCTAGTGCCCAGACTGGGGATGCCGGTACCCGGCGTGGCCCCTCTCAGGGACGCTCGGCTCTCATTGCAGACCCTCCCAGGAGAGGAGCAGAGGTCTTGCTGGCTTGACCTATGCTGAGGAAGCCACCCAGGGTTTGTAAGTCAACCCTCTGTCCTGCTGGTGCGCCTGCATTGCTCGCATACCAGCGTGCCCACCCTGGGGCCTAAGCTTCGTGGTCAAGAGCTCCCTTTAATCTGTTAGGATCCAAAGCATCCCTGCCGGGGCCGGGATCTGCCTGAG